GAGTGATCGCACTAGCAAGTCTGGTGCGTTCCAACCTGTGTTTAGAATTATTAATTTACTGCTTTCTAAATTTAACCCAGGCTGCAACGCACCAACGCACCAGGTGACCATGCGTTTTTGCGCTAAGCTTGCAGATCGTTAACAACAGGAATGTTTCCTGCGCTGTACTTTACTACTTAGATTCATACTAACTGTGCTTTGGCCTTTTCTCGCATGCAATGGAAAAAGGCGACAGCTAGGATGATGTTGCGTAATGGGACCGCATAGACCTCCAGCGCGCATGATTATCGGTTTTTTGCATGAAGCCCGGTCGTTTTTCCGGAGAATGCTCGTTTGTTGAAACTCAGGCTGGAGCGCACCAGGCGAGCCGGCGCAATCATGCGTTTTTGCATCAAACTTTGAAGTACCCCGTCAAATTCCCCTGTCCTTGCTCCACCCCTCCACCCGCCGTTTCCGCCTCTCTCCCTTCCCCCGCCCCTGCCTTGGAAATGCATCTTCTCGAAGCGGTGATATTGGGCTGCATTATGCAGTGCAATTACAAAGCGGTATTCCGTGAGTACGGTACGATGCGATATACAGTGGTGCGCAGTCCCTCACTCTGCGGTCTGATGCTGCTCAGGTGTGGGCTTGTATGGTTCGGGAGTGGGTGGTTTTGCGCGGTGCTGAGCAGGGAGTCAGTGTCGGGGGAGGGAGGGGAGGACGGGTTTGGGGAGTGGGTCGGTGTTGGGGCGGCTGGTGTTGGGGGGCGGTCGGTGTTGGGTGGCGATCGGTGTTGGGAGGCGATCGGTGTCGGGTGGAGCGGGGGAGGGGGTTGATGTTCTTTCGGTTCTCGTTTGTGCTTGGCAATTGCACATGTTGAAGGAGAGGGGAGGGGGGCCTTCTGCGATTGTTCTGGGCGAGGGATACCGTAGTGTTTTGTGCAGGATAGGAACAGCGGTGTCCTCCTTAAAACAACCATGGCACCCGCCTCCTAAGAACAGCTGCGTAATCCACATCTCGGAACAGCCACGGGGCCCACTT